TATGAATGTGGACAAAACGATTTTTATTGTGATGGAAATTGGTAATAAATGACTATTATTATTATTATTATTATTATTATTTTATTGATATTCGTGAGTGGTTTAATTATTATTGATCACTCCATTTCCCCCGCCCGCCTCCACCGCTTTTCCCCTCGATTGTTTTTTGAAAATCGTTGGATCGATGGATCGATCGGTAGACGCGAAACATTTCAAAATGTAATAATTATCATTATTATTATTAATATTAATTTACCGATGAATTTGATTTTCCAGCTCGAATGTTCGATTTTTTCGATTCTGGAATAATGGAAGGTTTAGAACACAGACTCGTAAAGTTGACCAAAGCTCGAACGGGAGGCGACATCACGGATATTCCTGGAAAATCCCTCGCACTCACTAGTCAGGTACGTCGTGTATCCTTCCCCGTTTTTTTTTTACGACGGGAGAATAGGGAGGGAGGGGGGGGGGTAAAAGAGTTTGTCTTATTATTATAATTATTATTATTTATTTTCGTTTTAAAGGTCATCGCGCGAAGAATGACCGAAAATGGAAAACAGCAGTTCCTGCTAAAATGGTTTCCCCAAAACATGTAAGTTTTTTTCCTGTTTAAAAAAAAAAAATGTCGAAAAAAAAGAAAGAAAAAAATTAAAAGGGGGGGCTTGGGTGTTTTCTGAACAGATTGGAGGATGAATGGGTGTACGAAGAAGAATTAATTAGAAAGAAAACGGTTTCAATTCCGAGTCTTTCACCCTCAGTGAGTTCATCACTTCAGGAAACTTTAGAATTGGTGACAAGATCATCATTGACTTATAGAAAAGGAAGGAGAAAAAATAAAGGGGTGGTTGTTGTATCCTCGTCTGTTCCTACGACTCCGTAAGTTAATCATAGAGAGAAGAGAACCTTTTCTGACTCTCGAGGTTGTACGTCACGTGATGTATTTATTTTTGGTTTCAGGGAAAAATTGGAAAACTACGAAGAAGAGGGATCGATCAAGGATTGCCCCCCGGTTACCGAAAAACCGGTAGAAAAGAAGGAAGAGAAAAGGGAAAATAATAATAAACGTCCCGACGAAGAGTGTAAAATCGTCAAAGTCGAATTGGAAAAGAAAGTTAAAATGGCCGAAGAACCCAAATTACCGCCGCCGAATAAATGCACAGTCGTGAAAAAAGTCAAAAGAAAAACGAAGGTGAAGAAAACGATGGAAGAAGGAGAGAAGAAAAAATTTGACGAACCCATTTCGTTACCTCCTGTCCTAGCAGCAAGAGTTCCTGTTTACGATGATAAGAAAAATGATTGTTTGATAGAGGAAAAGACGACGGTGTCGCTGAGAGCCAAAGAGGAAGGAGGAGGAGGAGGACCCCACCCGCACGGAGTCACGGGAGTTTTACCAGAAGAAATGTCAATGGTACCCGTTTGTTCGACCGCCGAAGAAATCGTACCCGTCCAAACAAATGGAATAATAATGGATAACGGTGCAAAATTAATTGGAACCCCAAAACCGGAAATGATAGTTAACGGTCCGCTCAAATTGGTCACGTCGCAGTACATCGAACAACCTTTCGTGCAAGCGGTCATGCCGGTACAAATGCCGGTAACATACCAAATACCCATCGTCAAATTATCACAAACCTCTGGAATGTTTTTCTCTCAAGTACCAAATTACATAATACCACCCTCGCCTCCGGTTTTCGGTCCCCCTCCTCCCCCGCCCGTTTCAACGTTCAGAAACGGTTTTCATTTTTCCACGAGCGGTACCGCTGTACAATTTCAAGCATCGTCGACGACGCTTCAACAAACGACAAACGGTTTCATGCAAAGTACAAATTCATCCGGATTTCAAATCGTTCAATCCCCCGCCGCGAACATACAGCAAAGCGTCCTCCTGACCGCATTTCAAAATTCCGGAATTCCGAACATAAATATAAAATCCCCGACGTTGAGGTTGTTGAATTGTCAACCCCTCATACTCAACAATGCGAAACCGTTGACGAACGTGAGTTTAACTGTCACAAACGTGTCGTCGGTATCGAATCCGAACGCCGCAAGTGCTGCTGCTGCCGCTGCTGCTTTGACGGTGCCTACACTCGGAGTTCCAACGATGGAATCCCCAAATAAAACCGGTCAAAAAATAATAACGGCCGCGACTCCGAATTCGTTGATGCAACCGATGAAAAACAACCCGGGACCAATGGGTGTGGCGGCGGCGGCGGTGTCGATGGTGACGAGTGGTACGACGACTCCAAAAAAATTGACTCCGAAAAAATTAAACATATTACCCAAACCGCCGACGACGACGAATTTAGGATCAAAAAGCGGAATCGCAGACGGAGGGAAGAGTAAAAAACAGTGCCTTCAACCGTGCGGACCCGCCCCCGGCACCACAACGTGATTGTAGGAGTAAGAAAATGACCAAGACAACACAACAACAACAACAACTACAAACACGTTCGGTGTGAAACAAACGGAAGAAAAGGTCACTAGGTGTTTAAAGACGACAAACAGCCATCTAGAGCCATTAATGTAGAGCCATGTACAGTTTGCCTACTGTTTAAGGAGGTACGTCGACGTCGACGTCGACGACGAGGACGACGACGACGATGACGTCACCGATGATGGAAGAGAAACTGGAGGAAAAGAAAAGAAAAGAAAAAAGGTTTTTTTTTTTTTTTGGTTTCCCCCCCTTTCCCTCCACATTTTCCGTTAGTTTAAATTTTTTTTTAATAATAATAATAATAATAATAATGTGTATATTATCATTTACGATAACGTTAATTTTTTTTTTTTGTAATTTTTTGCTACAGTTAAAAAAAAAAATTAGGGATAATAACAATAATAATAATAATAATTTTTATATGTTAGGTACGTGCGTGCGTGCTGCGTGCGTGCGTGCGTGAGTGCGTAAATTTTTTTTTTTTTTAATAAACTTCGCCTCTACAAATTTTATAGCGCTTGTTTTATAGTTAAGTTGATTTGCTATATAAATTACATGTGTATTTAAAAGATGGAGAATTTCCCCCCTCCCCACCAGGTTCGTACCTGAATTTTTTAGTTACGAGGCGAAGTTTTGTATAGCGATGACGATGATGATGATGATATTTTTGTTTTGTAAGGATTACTCGCGAACCTATGTAATAACTTATGTAATGATGATGATTGATCATATCTAACGATGATGGTAATGATAATGATGATGATAATTTGTATGTAATTAATTATTATTATTATTATTATAAAAAAAAGAAAGAATCCGTGTAGATGATTTTTAACTGTACATGATTGTGTTCACTTTTTTTTAGACGGTTGTTATTTACGTATTATTATTATTAATTATTATTATTATTATTTCACGAAGTGTAGATAAAACGAAAACATTATTATTATTATTATTATTATTATTTTGTATTCGTTTGAAGGTTTCGATTGACGTTCGGAAAAAAAAAAAAAAATGGCAAAAGATTATTTGAACATTTTTCGATTTTTTTCCGCTTTTTAAATGCTCATTTTTATGTTGCTTGCATTGTTATCAACAATCAACAAACAACGACGACGACGACAACAACAACAACAACAACAGTAAAGAAAAAAAATCTCGATGTGATCTCGTTTATACAAAAACATTATCATTATTTTTTTTTTTTTTTTTTTGGAAAAGTCCGTAGAAGTTGAATGATACGTTTGCGGCGGCTGCTGCTGCTGCTGCCACGTATAGAGGGAATTGAATAATAATAATGATAATAATAAAGTCAAGAGTAAAACAGCTCTGGGCACTGCCATTTGTGTATAAATGAAAATTTTTATTACTTATTATCATTATTATCGTCTTGAAATGGTTTTAATACGAAAACGAATTTTTTTTTTTGGAATGGTCGGGGGGAAGAATGGGAAGAGGGGGAGATGTTGCTGCTGCCGTTGTTGTTGTTGTCGTTGTAGTGAGAAAAGCGAAAGAAAATATTTAGTGCCATTTTTTTTTTTTTTTGTTTTCTCACCCGAGAACCGATATCATGAAGTCAATAATTAATTTTCTTGTGCCACGTTTTTTTTTTTTTCTTAGAAGATAATTAATACGATGGTGACGTCACAGATGACGGCACACGATGGTCACCGCGAGACAGAGACAATCTCTATTCGTACATGATTACAAAAGGAAAAATAAGAAAATGTCAGCAATATTTACGATGCATATTTAAAAAAAATTTTTTTCCCGTTATTACGTTTCCGCCATTTTTAATAATTTCCGTTTCCGTTTGAAAAAAAAAAGTTACCAATTCAATATCGAAATGAAAAAAAAAAATAAAAAAATTTGACAATCTTAATCGTATTCAACGAAAGAATAAAAATAATAACGATGATAATTTTTTTTTTCGTGGCATTAGAATCTTCTTCCTTTAAAAAAAAAAATTAATTTTATTATTGATTGTAACCGCGTGTGTTTCATATCGCGAAATTTTTTTTCAAGATGTAATTAATTAATCGAATGTTGCTTTAGGCGGGTTTATAGAATGAAAGAAAAAAAAAAAATTGACGTGGCACTTGAAAGAAAAGACAAAAAAAAAAGGCCTTTTCATAATAATGTTAAAAAAAAAAAATTGAAGACTTATTTTCGTATTATCATTCATCACTAAAAAAAAAAAATAATATTATTATGATATGATTAATAAAAAAAAATCAATAATAATAATAATAATGATAATAAACAATATAACTTTGATGATGATAATGATGATGATTTTTGTGTTTTTTTTAGTTTTTAATTTTAATTTTTTTTTTAATTTTATTATATTCGATGAGATCGCATCGAATATAATAAAAAAATGTATAAATATGTGAATAAGTTTATATATATATATACATATACATAATAATAATAATGAATAATAATAATAATAATAATAATAATAATAATAATAATAATAATAATAATAATAATAACGAATAATGCACACATTTAACGCCGCCATTTTTTTTCTTTTCTTTTTTTATATTAATTTTTTTTGTAATTATTTTGTCGTTTATTATTATTATTATCATTATTATTAATTTTTTTAGTTTAATTATTATTATTATTATTATTATTATTATCATCATTTAAACGTAATTTGAATCACGAAACGAGCGCGTTTAAAAACAAAAAGAAAAGAAATTTAATTTTTTTTTTTAATCTTTTTTATTTATTTTAAAAATGTTTATTTACTCTATGATTTATTATTATTGTATTCATTTGTTTTTTTTTTGTTTACATTTATTAGTTACGAATTTAAACGAATGATGGCGTTTCTAAGCGTTTGTTTGCGTTTTCTTTTATTTTCTTTACTTTTTTTTTTATTTTTTTATTTTCCCCATTATTATTATTATCATCGTTTTGATTAATTATTATTATTATTATCGTTTTCATTTATTATTATTATTATTTTTTTTTTTTTTTGGTAAAGGGCAGCGTTCGAATACGAAATTTAAAATTTTTCGCGCGTTTTTTTTCCTCACCTTTCAATTCTCTTCGATCGAGTAATAATAATATTAAAAATTAAGAAACAAACAAACAAACAAAAGGCAAGCAAACAAACGTCGTAGCTCCATTGAGTTTATGTATATATATATATATATATATATACATATATATGTATTTAATTCCGATTTTTCGTGCTCAATAATAATAATAATAATAAATTATTTATGTAATTTTCTTCCCTCATGTGTTCAATTTTTTTTTTTTTTTTGTATCCCCCGAATTATAACGATGCGTAATCATTATCATTATTATCATTACGATTTGTTTTTTTTTTGAGAGAGAGAGAGAAAGAGAGAGCCTATATATTCATATATAAATTTTTCAAATTGACTTATTATTATTATTATTAATTTATAAAAAAAAAAAAAAAAATTTTTTTTTGTTCGCCGCGTTAAAAAAAAAACGTGCGACGCGGTTTTTATATGTATTTATTATTATTATTATTTTACGTATTTTTTGTATTTTTTTTTATAGGCTCAATTTGCCACACAATAATAATAATAATAATAATAATAATAATAATAATAATAATAATTTGTAATAATCGAAAGAGCATTTAAAAAAGGGAAGGGAAGGGAAGGGGAAGGGTGAGAAACAAACGTTTCAAACTTTCCCTTTCCCTTCAGCCCCCCCTCCCCTGAATGATCTCAAAATCAATCAATCAATCAATCAATCATTCATTCATTCATTGTCTCTTGTATCTAGCTAATGATAATAATAATTTTTTTTTTTTATTATTTAAATTTTTTTTTAGGTTTTTAATAAATAAATAAATAAATAATTTTTTTTCTTAAACAATTTTTTTTTTTTTTTGTTTAAATCGTTTTTCATCTATCTATCTATCATTATTATCATTATTATTATTATTATTATTACCGTCGTCGTCGTCGTCGTCGTTGTTAATTTAAGGAAAAAAAACCGGGAAAATAATAATAATAGTAAAAAAAAAATAAAATAAATTCGGAGTGACGTCACTCTCGCGTAATAACTCTAGTAATAGTTTAAGTAATATTAATAATAATAATAATAATAAATGATAGTATTGATAAGATTCCGAGGGTCGTTTGGTTATTTAGCGTAGCGTAATAATAATAATAATAATAAATAAATGTACTGAGATATGATAAGCACTAACTGAAAAAATAGATAAAAAAAAATAAATATATTATATAAATAATATTTAAAAAAAAACGATATCAAAATAATTTTTCCCCATCAATAACCATTAGAAAATTTTTATTACGTATATAAATTTTAAATTGAATCGATCGATATATCGATATATCGAACGGAAGGAAACAAAGAAAGAAAAACTTACCGTTAACGTATATATATATATTTATATTTATAATTTAATATAATACAAAATAAATGTACTCGACATGAAAAAAAAAAAAAATTACAAAAATAAAAGTAATAAACTGGATAAGAAAAGAAAATTTACTGGAGAGGAAAATTCTGGAATGCTCGAGAACAAAAAGAAATAATTGAGCAAAATGGATAAAAGAAAAGAAAAGAAAATTTTTTTTTAACCGTCATTTCTATGGAGAAAATAATTCCTCTTTTTATCTTTCTCTATCTTTCTCTTTTCCTCTTTCTTTCTTTTTCCCACTTAATGACGTCATCACCGATAAAAATTAATTAATAATAATAATAATAGTTGCAACGATAAAAAATTAATTAATAAATAATCGAATCAACAAAGAAGAAGAAGGATTCGATTGAGAAAAAAATTTTTTTTTTTTTTTTTTTTTTTAAATTTATCATACAAAGATTAATTCGATCAATTATCTCGATTAATAATCGATAAATCGATAAATCGATTTGTTATGGCTAATGATGGAAATTAAATGAAGGTAACTGATCAAGAAACCTTTGAAAAAAAATTTTTTTTTTTTTTTTTGGCTCTTTTTGTTATCGTAAAAAAAATTTTTTTAGGATGATGATAATAATAATAATTATTCTTCTGTTATTTCGTTATCGACACGACTATTTTTAACTCCAGTTTTTCCAGTCCATGGATAAACTTCCGGACATGGTTGACACGTTCTCATATATCTAACGCCACTTTTATGCCACAAATTACAAACTTTCGGATTGTTACATTTTTTAGCTTTTTCCTTTAAAACAAACAAACAAATTATTATTATTATTATTACCATCTCATCGAACGTGGAAATAGAAAAATGATAATAATGATAATGATAAACTTACCACGTTACATTGAAACGGTGGAAAATTATTAACGGTCGATAATGGCTGTGGATTTCTTGTATATTCTATGGCTTGCCACGTGGTTACCAACCAAACTTCCGGCATGTTTACTATCGTATCCAAAAATGCTATGAAACCTTCTTTGTGATGTTCGTGTGTGAACCAAGCGGCGTGATAGTATAAACCGAAGGGAGCTCTGTTAAAAAAAGAGAAAGGAGGTTAGTGACGTGGAAGTAGAAAAAGGATTCAACAATACGTTTACGTACCTGTTGGTCGTGAAATGTCTTTCGAAATTTTTAATCAACATTTTATAAACTCCGTCTGCTGTTGGAGGATTCGAACATGCGTCACCCATCGAACATCTACCCCCGTTCAAATCCTGCCACATGACCATGGGTACTTCCCAAACTCCTGGATAACTTTTTGTCGGACATGGAGGAATCATACAATCGTGGAAAAGTTTATAATCGAGAGTGTAGGGCCAGCTGGGTGGACGATTTTCGTAAATGGGCATAGATGAATCGTACGTGAAATTAGAATCGTATAACATTTTAAACATTTTATTACCACCGACCTGTAACCGATAAAAAACAATGGGAATGAGTTTATGTAATTCCAGAATGATTGATTGATTGATTGATTGATTGATTGTACTCACGGCTAAAAATGGCGCTCTCATTCCACGTACGTCTTCTAATCTTACGCCACCGTAAGCGGCTAATATTTCTCTTTGTCCTGCTATTTCTTTATTCCATTTCTTTTGTGAAAATTGTTCACCGAAACTGTGACTGTAATGAGAGAGAGAGAAACGGAAACGGAAGTGGAATTAATAATTAAATTTTTGGCGGGAAAGTTTAAAAAAAAAAGGTAAATAAACGACTTACGTTATTGAATGAGATGCGATTTCGTGTCCGTTCGCGTAAAGATTTTGAACTTGTGAATAATCCGTCCATTCGTGTGATACGTAAAACGTTGCCGATATTGGACAACCGTTCGGATTGACACGTCCACGTTCGAATAATTCAGCGTATAAACCTTTGTTTAAATCGTTAACGGAATCGTCGAATGTTAATAAAACGAGTTGGGGGATTTCTTCGGCGTTGTAACCACCTTTGAAATAATTCGTTATTTTATCATTTCCGGTTCCGTGTGTGTTTTCGGTGGGGGGAGTGGGAGGAGAGGGTAGGGGGTCGTACCTGGAATATCCTTTCCGCCGCAGTTACAATCTGGCAAAAGGCAAACATCTTTTCTACATTTGGCAGCACTTTTATCAGGAGTCGGCGTAGCGTATATGTTTTGCGGTCTTCTCGGAGGATATCGATAAATGTCGACAAATTCCGATGCTTTCGATACGATTGCCGTCGACGGTTTGAGAGTCGGTCTAGTACCACGACTGAAATCACACACAAACAAAATTTTTATTGATCATCTTTCTTTGAAAAATTTTTATTTGTATTTTCCTGTTTCCGGAAAACTTACCTCGGAGCGGGTGTTCCTCTATTAACGGTAACTTCATTTCCGGTATTTTCAATTGTATAACCGCCTCCTGGTTGTCTGCAAAAAAAAAATAATAATGATAATAAAATCGTGTAGAAATAATTATAATGTTGATTAATGCAAATAACGAGCAGGAGCGTAGCAGGACACGAGCGGTTTACTCACTACAAAAAAAAAAAAAAACATGCACGATTTCAGCAATTTTGTTTGTTTTTGTATAAATGTGGGTGTGTGTATATGTGTGTGTTTGTAGCGTTTTGCAAATATTAACAAACAAACAAACAAAAAAAAATCAATAAACAAACAAAAAAAAAATTAAAGAAATTAAAAACAAACAACAAAAGAAAAAAAATAAAGCTTTAAAGCTGACGCGAATAAAAAAATTTTTTTTTAAAACAAACAAACAAACAAACAAAAATGTTATGAGTTTGTTAGGTGGTGATAATAAGTGATATAAATAAAATGATAATAAATGATTTTTTTTTTTTTACATATAAATAAAAACGTTCGTTCGTCCGTTTGTTCGTTTGTCCGTTGTTTGTCTTGGTTCCATTTGTTATGTTTCTACTGTGACGTCACGCGGGTAAAAAACGTCATTCGCGATTACGTCATCACACTTCGTCGTTTTTTTTTTCTTCTTTTTCTTCTCCTCCTCCTTCGTTTTGTTTTCGTTTTTTTTTTTTGTGCAAACAAACATATTATTTATAACATAAACAAACATAATAATAATAATAATAATTTACAATAAATAAATAAACATTTTAATAAATTTTTATGTATACATAAATATATACATATGCATACGTATAAATAAATAAATAAAAGCTTCAAGTTATGCGTTTGCGTAAATAAATAAATAAATGAAAATCGAGCAACAAAAACGTTCGAGAGGCAAATAAATAAACAAACAAACAAACAAACATGCAAATAATAATAATAATAATAAATTTTAAAGAATTTCTACAGTGAAAATTAAAAAAATTTTTCTTTTCTTTTTTCTTTTTTCTGTCGTTCGGTTTGCTTATTGTCATGAATGAATGAATGAATGATTGGTTGATTTATTTCCGTTTCCGGTTGGGATAACTATTTCCCTGTAGAAAATTGATGATGATGATGATGAATCTTTTATTTAAACGTTTCCGATGTGTTTTATCAACGACTTTATCAAGTCCCCCCGTTCGTACCTGATTAAATAAGCAAACCGAACGAACGGAAAAACGTTCGAAAGAAAAGAAAAACTTTAAACAAATTCTATTTATACAGCAAAAAGAGAGAGAGAGAGAGAGAGAGAGATAGAAAAAAAAAGCTGCTAACAATCAAAAAAAAAAAGGTTAAGCGATATGATTGATAAGAAATAAAAATCGATAATATATATATATATAAATAATAATAATAATTCGCGTGTCGTGTCATTAGATAAATCGTATAATAAAAGCCCATATAAATAATGCGAACGTGCAAAAAAAATTAATTACCCCCTTACTCTATACCTAATTTTACGATGATATTAATGATGATGATGACGATAATGATAATGATAATGATGATAATCGTGCGTGCGTGTGTGTGCGTGTCGAATGACACGAAAGAAAAAAGAATAAATAATAATAATAATAATAATAATAATAAAAAGAAAAATTGCCCTACCTTGTAGAAAGGTGAGGACCGGGGCCTACGTTATCGCTATCAACAGGGGATGCTCCTGTCGTGGGTTTTAATCTATATATTGAAAAAAAAAAAAAGAAAAATATAAGAATGAGTAAATGATAACATATATATTTCATAGAGAATTCAAAATGGCCGACTACTACTTCCGGTTCGAAAAAATTCAAATTTTTCACCCCAAACCTCATCCCGCCCTATCAAGAAAAAAAAAATTTCCCTATCGATTTATTCGAAAATTATAAATGGCGGATATCATTATTATTATTATTATCATTTACAAAAACAAACGTAAGAGAGAGAGAGAGAGAGAGAGAGAGAGAGTGTGTTTGAGAGAGAGAGAAAGTAAGGAAAATTGTATTTGTTTTAGTTCTCCGCCATTTTCTTTCTCATCATCATACAAGGCTGTGATTAACGAACTCTTACTTTTCCCCTCCCCCCCTGGCGGCGGGCGCGTTTCGCATTTAATAATAATAATAATAATAATGAAAGGAAATAAGAATAGTTATAAAAGAAGAGGAAGGACAAATTTACCTTAATTTAATATCGGAAGGTTTAAATTTTCCTCTGTAAGCCTTCGTTGTTGTTGTTGTTGCTCGATTTTCAAATAATTGCGTCACGTTTTTAACCGTCTGATTTGGTCTTTTTAGTTTTGGAATCAATGGTTTGTTATCATCGTCGTTATCATTATTATCACTATCATTACTATTACTATTATTACTAGAATAATCATTATTATTATTGTTTTTATTTTCCGGTGGTGGTAAATCGTTTTCCGTATCCGTTTGTTGTGATTTTTTATTTTTTTCGGTGGTTAAATTCGACGGTGGTGATATTTTATTATTATTATTATTATTATCGACGTCAGAAAAATCTTTTTCGTTTTCGACGGTAAACCGGAAACGAGTTTTATTTTTCGTTAAAGTCGGCGGATATGGTAAATCGCTAACAATTATCGGTCTGTACGTGGGTTGTATTTCATTTTCTTTTGAAAATTTTTTCTCTTCGAGTTCTTCTAAAACCACGATCGGTAATTTTGCCGAAGAAGGTTTTCTCGTTCTTTTTTTTTGCAAAGGTTGTAGCCTTTGATTTTTAGAATCGTTTCTATTTATTTTAACGAGTCTTCTTGGTTGCTGTGGTTGTCTTCTGTTGTCTTCCGGTGATGACTCATCAGAGTTTTGATATCCGTTTCCGTATTTTTTATTAATCGTTTCCGTCGAAGATGGCGACGTTTCCTCGACGTCGGATGATTTCACCCGGTGTTGTTGTTGTTGATTTTGCTTTCTTCTTTTCTTTTGATTATGTTCAAAATCTTCTTCTTTGGCGGCTTTGTTTTCTCCTTCTTCTTCTTCTACTTCCGGTAAAACCTGTATCGGTTTTATGTTTAACGACGCTATCGTTTCCTTCTCTTCCGTTTGAGATTTTATTTCAGGAACTATAATTTTTGGAGTTATGACACTCGGTATTTCCGATTTTCTACTTCTATTATCTTCTGCCACGTTATCTCTTAGTCTGATTTCCGGTCGCGAGTCGGTTTTGTAAATGAATTTTCCCGTTTCATCGTTTTCGTTTTTCTTGTAATTTTGTACGAAAGGTACGACCGACTCTGTCGATTCTTCTTCCGGAAGTGGCAATCTTCCTCTTCCGCGATTGTTTTCCGGTTTCGTTTTGTATTTGATTCTTTCTTCGCTCTCGTCTTTGTTTCTTTCTCCTCCGTTTCGTCCGAAATCTTTTTTCCTATCTATGTTAACGTATAAAAATTTATATGGACTGCTGCTGACGGATTCCGTCGGTGGCGGTACTTCTTCCGTGCTGCTGATGATCGGACGATTTTGTAAGTAGTTTTCTTCGGTTCTTGCAGGCACGGGACCTTGGGAAATTTGTTTTCTTTCTATCGGTTCCGGTACTACACGTTGAGTTATTATTTGCGGTTGTTGCGGTGATGTTTGCGGTTCCAACAGAATTTCTTTTTCTTGTTTTTTCTGAATGTAAGCGTCGAAAGGTGTGGGCTGTGGTGTGGTTGGCAACCTTGCGGGTTTTTCTTGATTTTTTGCAATAACCCATTTTCCAACTGGTTTGTACGGTTGATTGTTTGTACCGAACGGTCCGATGATCGTTTGCTTTTCAATAGAAGAAGAAATATTATCTTCTTCTTTTTGATTTCCGTTTGTGGTCAATTCCGAATTGAATCGTGACCTTTGATTAGTTCCTCCTCGACCGAAACCCGATTGTTGTTGCCTTTCGAAATTTCCTTGATTGTTCGATTGACGATTTCCTGGAATTCTTCGACCGTTAGGTCGGGATTGTTCATCAGTTTCGAGGGGAACGTTTAAATAAAATCCTCCACGTCCCGATTCGATATTTTTAGGTTTTTTAGGTTCGATTTCTACGAAATAAGCCAAATAATCATTTTGTGACAATTTCGGCGGGGGTACGTGAGTCGATGATGGCGGCGGAAGTGATGCGACAACTTTTGGCGTCACCGCGTTTGTTTTTTCCCCTCCATTATTATTTTCTATTATTACCGGTTGTCGTATTGAAAAATTTTCCGTTATTATAATCGGATCGTGACGTATTCTACCGATTTCCGATCTCACGATCGTTTCCGGTATCGATTTTTCCCTTTGAGAATTCAACAACTGAGGAGGAGGAGTCGAAGTGGTGGTTTCAACCGTCGTAGATGTTAAACTTTTCGGACTCGTGACGGCGGCGATAAACGACGATAGTAAAGAATCGAAACTGTTGAATGTTTTAGCTAAAGCTCCGCCATTTTTAGGCGGATCGAAATGACTTCTACCGCCGTCTCTACCTCTTGCCGACTCGGTATAAACGGGTTTTTCGGTTGTTTTCGATTGTTGTGAGTACGATGTGTCGTAATATTTTTGAGTCGTTTCCGGAAATGGTAATGGCGGGAGTAAAACCGTCGAAGGACCGAAATTTAATAGGGAATAATAGGAATCGGAACGGCGGGTTATGGGAGATGATTCTACATAGTTTGACGTCACGTTCTCTGGAACACGATTGACGGAAGTTGATGATTCAACCGTCAAACCATCGTCCTTTGATGAATTCGTCCTTTCATTCCTAAACATTTATAAAATTTTCTCGTTAATAATAAAAAAAAAAAAAGTGTCATTATTTGTTAATTATGTCTACTGCTACGACAACTCGATCGAACCTAAATAAAAAAAAAAAAAATCGATTGATTTTTACCCCCCGCCCCCCTAGCCCACTGATAATAATGATAATTTTTTATACCTGGAAGATAATTTTGGTGTCGGTTGTGTGAGATGCTGTTGCTGATACTGCCGTTGATCGTCAACCTGAAAAAAAGAAAAAATTTTTTTCTTTTGCAATTCCTCATAAGAATTTTAAATCGGGAAAATAAAAAAAAAGATGGCGGACCTGTTGAACGTTATATTGATCGTTAAAATCTTGTATGACAGGCGGTGGCGAGTACAAATCTTGGTTGTAGTTTCTCTGTTGTTGAACAACCGGTTGTTCTTGAACTTGTAATTGTACCTGTTGTAATTCCACAGCTTGTTTATGATTTATTTGTCCCCTGTATTGATGAGCTATGTTGTTCGATGATGGCGTCGAACTTGGCGTTTGATACTGTTGCTGTTGGTTGTAATCTGTCACGTGACACGAAAAACAAACAAACGTTAATTTTTCATTTCCTGTCGTTCGTTAAATAATTAATATTTTCCATATACGGTCATCTTACATAAGTTAAACAAATAAAACATTCTCCTTTCAAAAATTGTAATTAAAAAAAAAAATGGCGGATCAAAATGGCGGCGAAAGAATTTGAAATTTCATTAATTATGAAAAATGTTACAGTTTTTTTTTTTTGTAATTAAAACGAAAGTTTAACCGTCATTGAAATCGGCAATGACACACTTTGTCATAAATTATCATTAAATCCACGACTTTTGTCCAGTCTATTGATTTTTCTGGTTCCACGATAAAAATTAAATTTAAATAGATTTTATCGATTTTTTAAAATGATTTTATAACAAAAAAATTAAAATTATTTTTAACGATTTTTTTTAACGTGGCAGAAGATTACGGTTACAAATCGGTTAACGAAATAATTTTTCTCACCATTTTGTCGATAGATATCTACGTTATCGAAAACCGTGTAATATGGATCGAATTGATTTGTTTGAAATCTTTGTGACGTGTTGTAACGTTCGACGGGTCTCGGAGTCGGAGTCGGCGGTGGCGGTGGCGGTAAAGCTGACGTCAATTGATGCGTTTGTATTTGTTCGACTCTGAAAAAAAAAATTACGAATGATGATGATGATGATGATGATGAAATATATATTCGAAAAATACTACAAAAAAAAGGAATTTCATGCTCTTGTTTTTTACCTCCTCCCATCTTCATCCACGTGATTGTTTGTCGTTGTTTTGTCGGGTATTTGAAAAGTAAAACCGCCGTATGTGAAATTCTCATTCGTTTGTGTCGTTTGTCTTTCGACAATGTTGTTTGTTATATTTTTGTAAAACGTTTGCATCGTTGTCAAATCGGGATAATAATAATACTGATCAGTATCAGGAAAATTTACTGTTGTTTCCTCGTTTCCGTTTGTTTGTAATAATACGTTAGAAAAAAATTCATCGTTTGTTGTCGTTTGTTGTTCTTTTTCCTTTCTTTCCACGTCGGGTAAATTTGTTGTCAATTTTAAATTTTCTTTTAACGATAATGATTCGGTTATCGGTTGTATTATTTTCACCGTACCGAAATTATATTCATCATATCCATCATATTTATCGCGGTTGTCGTTTGTCGATTGTTTTGGTTCGTCGTCGTCGTTATTTATTGGTTTGTTTGTCGTTACACGCTCGACTTGTTGATTGACTGAGGTTAAACGTTCCAAACTGATGGCTACATTCTGCGGTCGAAACGTTTCAAAATCATCATTATCCTTAACCCCCCTAAAAAAATCTCTCGTTTGTTCGTTTTGTCTATCTCCACGACTTTTCCAAAATTCCAAATCTTTCGAATTTCCATCGTTTGAAATTATTTTTATTAATCTCAAATTTGGTAAATAAATTTTTTCACCGATAGATGGTGTTGATGAAAAAGTCGGAGCTAATGTTATCATTTCCGGTTTTACCAACGGTTCGATATTTTTATTAATTTGTTTAAAAAATTGTTTGTCGTTGCTGTTGTGGTTGTTGTTGTTGTTGTCGTTTTCATCGTTAAGGGAAGGCCTACGAAAAACTGGTCTGAATTTTGTTTGTATCGTCGATTCCGTTAATTTTTTTAATTCCTCATCACTGTCGTTGTTATCGTGATTTCTATTAAAATTTTTTACGAACGGCCTTGGAAAAGATGCGTCGTAGGGCCTTATGAAAAAATCATTTCCGGTTTTTTGAACATTTCCGTTCGGTCGAGATAAAAAAATGATGGGATACTGTCCGTAATTTGTTTGGTAAAAGGTCGGTCGTCTGCAGTTCGTACGTGCAAAAACAAAACAAAAAAAATTTCAATAATCGATAAATAATCGATATCGATTATCGATCGATTAATTGTAATTTAACATAGAGTAAGAAAAAGTTTTTTTTTTTTTTTTTTTTTAATAAAATAATAATAATTAATTACGTGTAAAGAAGAAATTAAAAAATCATTAAAAAATTTTTATGGTTGTAGTTGTTCTTGTTTGTTTGTTTGTTTGTTTATCGTTTATTTTACCTTGGGAAAATTTGTCGTTTTTCACGTCTTTTCCGAGTTTTGTCGTTGTCCGTTTTGATTATGTTAAATTCCGCCATGTTTGTTGAATATGTCAGGTTTCTAATTTAAAACGATTAAAAATTTTTTTTTATTACCTTTTTCTTCATTATTATCATTATCATCGAGTTTAATAAAGAAAAAATGGCGGAGGATGAGAATATTCGTACCTGTATTGTTCCTGGGGACGCGGTGGACTCGGCCTTTGACTTCCAAATGAAACGACAGAAATTTTATCTTGACCGTTTGAATTTGTTTGTATAACATTTTGTGCGTTGACGTTGTTTTTAAATTGCCTTAATCCGTCCCTGTCTCTTTGAACTTGTCCGATGCTGGATGATTGTCCTCTGTAAACTCTTTGCTGTCTATCCGATTCTATTTCTTCTGCCGGTCCGAGATCTTCCGTGTAGAATGTCTGTTGCTGTAACGCGAGTAAACGTTTATTATTATTATTATCAACATTTTAATCGTGAAACGGCGACGACATTTTGATTATTGTCGCGACATTAAACGTCGCACCTTTTTAATCAAAAAAAAATCGATAAAAAAATGGTGTCGACAGTTTTTTTTTATGTCGATCGTCACGATAATAATATTATTATTACGTAAAAATCGTTCGGGAATAAAAAAAAAAAATTTTTAATTAAATTTAAAAAAAAAAAAAACGACGTTGAGGGAAAGTAAAAAAAAAAGGCGGATGAACAATCATCATCTTTTGTTACGTAAAAATGTCAAAGATCATATCAGGTCGAGAGCTACCAATGTGTAAACATTTACGAGTTGAAAATTAAAATTTTTTTTTTTATGATTTTTTTTTCACTTTCCTTTGTCTCCTTCCTCCTCCCCCCTCCCTCCCTCTTCCCAAAAAAAACCCTTTGCGAATTTCAAATTTCCCGCTCTTTTTCCTCCCTTCCTTTCAATCGATCCATCGATCGATCGATCGAAACGCAAAAATACAAAAAAATTATTAATTAAAATTATAATTTCCTTATTACGTCACTGTTCGAAAAAGAAAAAATAATATTAATAATAATGATGATGATGATAATACCATTCATCGGTTGTAACCTTTCGTAAGAGTAACAAACAACAACCAAGTTTTTTTTTTTTTATTTTGCGTTCGTGATTGTTTACGAAATGCCATTTTGAATTTTTTACTTTTATAAAAAAAAAAAAAACGATAAAAAGGCGTCACGTCCACTTCCGGTTACCGAACAAACGCAAATTAACCGAAACGATTTAATTCCAGACGTGAAAAGTGAAATGATTAATTAACCGTAGCAAAAAATTTAAAAAACGGTAAAAAATTTTAATTAAACGGTTGTTGTTGTTGTTGTTGTTATCGTCACGTGACACGTCATAACGCCTTTTTTATTTACCCCGTCGAGTCTAGAGAAAAAAAATTTTTCACACCTGTATTATTTCCGGTTGTCTTTGCCTGTTGTAATCTTGACGTTGTGATACTACCCCTCTACCCGTGGGTACTTGAATGGGTGATGAATTTTGTTGTTCTGCTGGAATGTTCGACGATACCAATTGCGGACTGTAATAAAAATTTCATTTTTTTCTTTAGTTGTGTCGATGTCGTAAATTCCCTAATTACGGTCCTGTTTTACCTTTGTTGTTGTTGTTGTTGAGGATTTCTACTTCGTGAATCCGTCACGCGTACGGCGGCGGCGGAACTTATCGAACCGCCATCGGCAGCTGAAGTTCCAGTTTCTCCACACCCGACATTTCTAGGCCAATCACAGGTCTGGAGTTCATGACTGTAAAATTATTAATTAATCAATTAATTATTATTATTATTATTACGTAAATCTCGTTGAAAATGTAACGAGTTTATTTCGATTTTTTTTTAAATTCTCCAGTTCGTTTCGTAATAATAATAATAATAATAAATCTCGTCGTACGTACCTGTACATGAGACCACCGGTGCAAGATTCGAGCAAGGCACCACCGAAAACGCAAACATAATATTGCGTGCAATCAGTTGGATGCGGGTAGTACCCGAATTCTTCTGGACAATCGAAATCGGCTACTTGAGTGACTCCAGCTCCTAAACCTCTCCTGGTGTGAGAAATGGAGGAACCTGAAACCAAAAAAAAAATTTAATTATTAAATTATCGTTAAAGTATTTCTTTTTTCTAATGACACGTCGTTAAATTTTATTATTTTATTTCCTAGTGTGAGTCAATTTTTCCAATTCGAAGAATTTAAATTGAAATCCATTATTATCATTATTATTATTATTATTATTATTATTATTTGAAATGAAACGAGGCCAAATTTTTTTTTTCTGGGCGGTGGTGGGGAAAGGGTTGCAAATTTTTTTTAAAATTTTCCACTTCGGGGCATTATTAAATTTACGGTGGGAAAATTTTTTTTGTTTTATGTACGACAACAAAAGTTTCAAGTAGACAACATAACAAAAAAAAAAAAAACCTGTCGAACGGCTATTTGGGTCACTCGACAAAAATTCAACAAAAAAAAGTAGCATTGACCTCGTTAATGTAATTTAAAATTTTCACATTCTCATAAAACATAATATATATATATTTTTCATAATTTATTAATATTAATAATAATGATTACGATGATGATAATAATAATGAAATGAGTAAGAGAGAGAGAGAGAGAGAGAGAGAGAGAAAAAATTGAAATTCGCGTGTACGGAAAACGTAATTTTAATTTTTAATTTTTTTTGTTGCTTAATTAATTTTTAATTTGTTTTTTTATTTGTTTGTTTTCTTAATACGCTCCTGTCTAATAAATTAATTTGTTTATTGATTAATAACTCTTTAATAAATAAATAAATAAAATTATTAATTATTAAAACAAATAAATAATAATTAACGTGTAATTTATCAACAGTTAATTTTTTCTTCTTTTTCAATGTTTAGCTTATTAATTCTTTAAAACAGGGGGGAAAAAAATTACACTTGTTTGTTTGTTTGTTTGTTCGGTTGTTCGTTTGTTTGTCGTCGTTAAATAATCAATTTTTACTTTTTATTTTTTCACGTACATAACCGCGCCTAAAAATTTTTTTTTTTTTGTAAACCTTGAAATATTTTTCATTCCAGATCGTTCGTCAAATTCCTGGAACGTTTTTTATTTTACTACTCCAAATAACCCCCCCTCCCGCACCTCCCTTAAAAAAGAAAATTTTCCCATTTTTCTATATCCTTCCCCCCCCCCTTTTTTTCTTTTTTCCAACTTTTGACTGTTACATATTGTCTCGGCGACTTTGTCCGTGACATGATTTTTTTCTTCTAATCAAAACACAAACTTATTATTATCATCATCAATAAGTTAATAAATAAAATTTAAATAAAAAAAAAAAAAAAAACATTAATCAAAATTTTTCCTTCCAGGTACGACGTATATAATCAATCAAATTTATTATTATTATTATTATTTGTTTCTTTTACCCCGATTTCAAAATCATCGTCCATCGTATTACACGTGTGATAAATTCGAACACGTATTAAAAATTAATTAATTACACGTGTAGACAACAAGTACGACGTTAAATACCTACTGCCTCCCCCCCTCTACTGCATTAATTAATAATGATGATGATGATGATGATAAATATGTTGGTTCGGTGAGGAACGGCGAGTGATGCAGACAAAAAAAAAAAAAAACCCAAAAAATTTTTTTTTGCGGAAACTCCAGGAGATTCGAATCATTTCCGGAAAAATTTTTTAAAAATTTCCCGCCAAATCGAATGATTAAAATTTTTTAAAACTCCTCCCCCCCCTCTCCTCTCCTCCCTCCACGAATATTATTGTTATTAATAATAACGTCCGTTAGAGAAAAACACAAAATGAAAAAAATGTGATTGATTATTAATTCCACGGAAAATTTTTAACCGTCGTCATTATGACGTCATTATAAATTCGAATGATTGACCGTTAAAAAATTCATGTGATCGGCGATGGTGGCGAGGAGCTGAAATTTCCGCGCGAATTCATCGGTAGACAAATTGGCGGTAATTTCAGGTGTATGGATTAGCATCGATTACCTGACGTACCCCCGTACCTGACATTTACGTATCTGATTGATTATCATCATCATCATCGTAGCCTTTTAACGGTTTTATCGAATCGTACGAGAGTCATGCGATTAACGGATTTTAAAATTTAAATGTCCGCCATAATTGTTTGAGTTTCTCGAAATGCATTTTCGCAAAATGGATTTTTTTTTTTAAATTTTTTTTTTTACGCATTAAATGCAATTAACGACTAACGCAACAAACCTCGACGCGTAAGGCAAACGAGTAATTTCTTCAAGGTTAAACAACTACAACTATAACAATAATAATAATAATAATAATAATAATAAAAACGATCGTGGAAGTAATAATGATAATAATATAAAAGGCGTTTAAAAAACGAATCGAAAAAAAAAAAAAAAACTCATTCGTATCGGACCTTGATTAAGATTAAAATAATATTATTATTATTATATTATTATTATATTATTATTATTATTATATTATTATTATTATTATTATCATTATTATTATTACATTTGCTGGAGAAAAAAAAAAAAATTAGTTAGTTACACGAAGTTTTATTTGTTTTACGAATCGACCCCGAAAAAAATTACTTTTCTTTACATTTTCCACAGTTTTTTTTTTTTTTAAAGTAATCGAATAATAATAATGATAATAATAATGATAATGATAATAATAATAATAATAATAATAATAATAATAATAATAATAATACTTTTGAATTTATAAAATCGTAAAGGAGAAATTTCGTTAATTTGACGAAATTAATTTTTTTTTTGTAACCTTTTACATAATAATAAAAACAATGTCGAAGAAGCCGCCGCCATTTTTTCCTCCTATGACGTCACGTGACGTAATTTTCCAAGAAATCCTTTTCCCCCATCCCCTCGTTCGTTTTTTTTTTTGAATTTTTAATCAACGATCGCTTGATCGTTTACGCATCGTAAAAAAACATAATTTGTCACGCGCAACGTAATTATATCATAATCATCATACATTTTCATCGTCGAGAAAATTTTTTCTGTAATTTGTCGTCTGTTGTTACGTCATGGATTCGATTATCGTCGTCGTCGTCATGATGCGAATGAAAGAGAAAAAAAAAAAAGGTTTTCTTTATTTTTTTTCCTCCGTTTTTTGTTTATTATTTGTTCGATTATACAACAGTCATTATTATTATTATTACTCAACGTAATAATAATAATAATACAAATTAACTCTCACTTTTTAAAATTTAAACAATGATTATTATTATTTATTTGGTGACGTTTGCCAAAATCAAAAAGGAACTTATCATTCGATTATTTAAATTTAAAATAAATATGGCGGATAACGGTTAACGTCCATCATCATCATCATCACCACGTTTTTACATTCTCATTATTTTTTTTTTTTTTTATCGATAATAATTTAAATTCGTTATACTTTTCTTTTTTCTACAACAACAACAACAATCTAAATCCACGGCCTTAGTAAAAAAAAAAATTTTTTTTTGCAAAATCATTTCACGTTTTCCATAGAGAACGTATGTCGTATTCACGGTCACTTTCATAGAGTAAAAAAAAAATAGGAAATATTTTTTTCTATTATATTAACGATTGGTATTGATTTGATATTTCAAAAAAATTTCCAGTTTTTTTACCAAATACCTGTTCTCCGTGTGCTAATTATTTATTATTATTATTATTATTATTATTATTATACCTGTAAAAGGCAAACCGAGCTTAACAAGCTCATATAAATTATGTTTTTTGTGAAAAAAACGAGTTCATTTTTACTTTGACACACTTGTACGTCTACATACAAGAGAGGAAAAGCTATAAAATAGTCGATCAAGTTCGAGGATTGCCACGTTCCTGCCATGTTAAAAAAAAAAAAATCGTCCATTTTGTTATTTACCAAGTTACCTTCGTTCTTTTTTTTTTTTACAACAAAATTTTATTATGAGGTTTTCACTTAAAAATTATTCGTGACACTCCATGACCGTACACCTCCCCCCTTCCCGCACGCGCGAGCATGACTATTACCACGTCATTAAATTGAATAAATATATATATTTACTTAATGGAAACGTGTACGCGGGTCAAGAACGTATGTAGGCTGATTTTTTTTTTTTTTTCAAAACACGAAAATTTATTTAAATATAATTTTTTTCCCAAAATCCTTAAATAATCAACAAACATATCAAAAAACAATCAATCAATCAATCAATCAATCGCGATGAATTATTACGTATACGCGTAATTATAAACAAATTACTACCACGTCGCGTAATAATTTTTAAATTAATTTTATTATTATTATTATTATTATTATTATTATTAACGGAAGTTTTTGTTTTGTTTTTATCTTTCGTCGTGGTTTTAACAACAAACGCAAACACAGAAACAAACGTTTGTTTGTTTCGTTTTTTTTATTAAAATTTCGGTTTCGAACGATTCGTTTAAAAAATAAAAAAAGTGTAAAATGTCGCCATGTTGCAAAATTTTTCCTTTTTTTTTTTCGACTCCTTTTTAAAATTTTGACCCCGGTCGAAGATGAAAATGTCAAGGTGATTATGATTATCATAATTACAAAAAAAAAAAAAAAAAAAAAACTCGTAGTGATAATGATAATCCATTTAATACGTCACGACCGACCGACCGAACGAAAAGAAAGTTTGGGTACAAAGAAAGAAAACCTTGATTGATTGTTTCAAAAGGTTTCGAAAACCACCACCCGCACCGCCACCGTCACCCCCAACCAACGCCACCGCCACCTCGAACGCGTGAATTCTGAACAAAAAAGTTTTCACCCCGGATTCCGTTTGTTGTTTGTTCGTCATTGACGGACATTAATAAGATCAAAGATCCAACCTTCAAAAATTATTTTTTTTTGTCCAGACGGGGGGCAACGTGACGACCTTCGAATTGTTGTAATTGATGTAACTTGTCAATTATTTACATTTTCATTCGCACTCCCTTCCCCCTCCCACCTCTTCCCTCCTCACGTTTTTCATCCGTTTCGTATATTCGAGAAGGAAAGAAAGAGAAAGAGAGAGAGAAAAGGAAAATTAACGCAAATGATTTGGCAAGAATGATTGATTGAAACTTGTAGGAAAAAAAAAAATTTGACGTGGTAATAGAATTGTAATATGTTAAAAGCCACGCGAACGAATCATTTTTTCTTCTTCTTCTTCTTACTATTGACACGTGCACGATAAAAACAATTTATAATAAATTTTTTGCGTGTCCATCGTTTGTCGTGTACGTTCAGAAATCCAAACGGAAATAAACAAACAACGAAAAAAGAAAAGAACCGAAAATTCTATTGAGATTAATTTCATTCCTTTTCCTCTCCCCCTCTCTCTCCCTCTCTCTCTCCCCCCTCTCTCTTTTCTTTTGAAAATGATCGAATTGAAAATTTTAAGAATTCATTAATGAAAAGAAAAAGAAGAAGAAGAAGGCAAACAAGCGCCCACGACTCTCTTACCACGTTAAATTATTTGCACGCGAATAATGAAAAATTTATTCTAATGCCACGACAAAAATTATTCCCTTAAACGTTAATAAAATATTACGCTAATAAAATAAAATAAAATAAAATAAAAATTTTCTTTTAGTTCGTTACGCGAACCGTAAATTAATAATAATAATAATAATAATTATGATGATGATGATGATGATAATGATAATAATAATAATATTAATGAGTAAAAAGAAAAGAAAAGCAATTATAGCGCTATAAATTATTAAAAAATATTTACAAAAAGATTTTTTTTATTCATACGTCACGAATCTTTATTATTATTATTATTATTATCATCATTCGCACGCGTGTTTAAATGATGACAAACAGCAGAAAAAATTGAACAAACGTTAATGCGATAAACAAAATTCGGGGTGTTTACGACAACCGCCATAAACAAACAAACAAACAAATAAGGAAAAAAACTTAAAAATTTTTTATTATCTTCAGGTCCCCCTCGCGTAATTTTTTTTTTTTTTAACGTTTACCGACGCCATTTTGTTTTTTTCCTCCTTTTTCGTATATATCAGCTATTAAATTTTTTTTTTAATAAAAATAAATAATTAACGATAATAATAATGATAATGATAAATAATTGCAAGGTTTTATTAATAAAGTTGGGCGTTGAGAAAACGTTAAAAAAAAAAAAGTTGTGACATTTTTATTTTTTTTGATAATGATAATAATAATGATAGTGATAATAATGATAATAATGATAATTATAAAAATAAAATTAAAAAAAAACGCCGCGAGAAATATATATATATATATAAGTTTTTTTGTTGTAGTAGTTAAAACAAATAAAATAAATTAAACTTTTCAAGGTACGCGAAAATATAAAAACTTTTCCAGTTTTCCATTTTTCCAGTCGACGGTTGAAAATTTCGGGGCGTTTAATTAATTACGTCGTCGTAATTATTTCAAGGCCAATTTTTTTTTTTTTCGAATTTCTATTATTATTATTATTATCGCCATTAATTTTTTGGTCGTTCAACTACAATGTCGTCAATATATAGATAAAAAAATTTTGCTGCCACGTCTACGCAATAGTAATAAAAAATAAATTCGTTACGGATTTGTATCGCACGTCAAAAAAAAAAATTGTTTGTTTGTTCGTTTGTTTGTTTGTTTGTTTTTTCGCTATTTTTTAATTAAAATTTAACGCGCGTGCGTGTTTTTGCGAACGTTTGCACGCGCGCGTTTCGCCTCGAAAAAAATTCCAAAATTAATTTTTTTTTTTTTTTGCGGTTTGTCGAGTTTTGTAATTAAGTTTGTTTATTAATTAAAACCGGATGTGGAAGTCCTTATAAAGGAAGTTGCTACCAAATAATTACAAGCCCATGTTTTTCGCATATATATAATTTTTACGATATTAAATAACGAAATGATAATAATAATAATAAATCAGGGCAATGAGATTATAGTCGTGAGATAGTGGTTGTTATTGTAGTAGTAGAGGTAGTAGTGGTGGTGGTATTAGTAGGCGAAATTTTATATAAAAATCGACTTGCTTCTGTTTACGGCGCGTGTGTTACAATTAAGGCGTGGTTCTATAATGGTTGTCAAAAATCAAGACCAACCCAATGAATTTCCCATTTAATAAATTATTATCATTATTATTATTTTTTCTTTCTACAATGTTTTCTTAACCTTTAAATAAATTATGTAAAAAAAATAAAAATAAATTCGACGATTTGTGATCTCGAGGCTTTCTCTCTCTCTCTCTCTCTGTGTGTCTCTTTGTTTCTCTCTCTCTCTCTCTCCCTCTCTCTCTCTCTCCCTCTCTCTCTCTCTCTCTCTCTCCCCCCCTCTCTTTCTCTAAGTCTCTCTTTTTTGCATACTTGTGTGTGTGTGTCTCTATCTTGCTCTATCATTTTTTCTGTCTCTCTATCTTTCTCTCTTTCTCCGTGCTTCTTTCTTTCTCTCTCTCTCTCTCTCTTTTTTTTTACATGCGTGTGTGTGTGTTTTGTGGGTCCCTTTTTCTCTAAGTTTCTATCTCTATTCTCTCTCTCTCTCTCTCTCTTTAATATTTTCCTTTTTCAATAAAACAACTTTCCGAAAAATTTCAACGGTTTATGCATGATTCATAATTTCGTAACGTGAACAAAAACAAACAAAAGTTTAATTGTTTAAAATTATAAATAAAAAAAAATAAAAAAAAACGAAACAAATCCCTGACATTACAATTATTATTATTATTATTAGGGTTGTTGTTGTTTAAAAATTAAAATTTTTGTAATCGATAAATCAATGAAAATAAAAACAATTCAAAGGAAAAAAAAAAAAAAACAAAAACAATTATTATTACCGATAATAATAAACGAAAACAATCGACACAAAAAAAAAACAATTGTTTGTTTAACGTTTGTGTGTGTTTCCATCACCGCTTATTCTTTTTCCTCATCTTCCTTTTTATCTCCCCCCCTCTTTCTCTTTCTCAACTCTCTATTCGTATAGTCGTGTCGTCATTTTATAAAAATCAAATATAAGTAAAGAAAATTTTTTTTTTTAAAAACGATTATCAGAAAAAAAAAAAAAAAACGGTTGACGAGAGAAAGTAAAAAAAAAAAAAAAAAACGTGACGTAAGAAAAATCGCAAATAATCGCAAACTCAAAATAAAAAAATTTTAATCAAAAATTATTTGAGAAAATTTAATCAATGAAAAAAAAACCGTCAAAGGAAAACCCTCAAAGGAAAACCGTTAAAGGAAAAACCAAAAAAAAAGAGAATTTTACATCGCGAAAATAAACGCGCGTCACTTTGATCGATTAAACGTCATTTAATAAATGTGACAAAATTACGATTTCGATATTATCGATGTCGATCGAGTTCGATAATCGTTCGATCTTTCGATCTATCTCCCTTCCTACCATTTCCTCATTTTCACCGTCCGTGAAAAACATATCGCGATTTTTTCCAACGAGCAAACCAACAAAAAACCCCCGCGAAAATCGTCAAAGCGCATTTGCTATAAACTATTTATAGCAAATCAAACCGCCGCTATAAAAAAAGGCGTTGTAAACTACTCTATAAAAATTATAGCATTGCTATAATTTCAAAAACGACGGGGAAAAAAACAAAAAATTATTTGGCAACTTTCCCCCTCCCCCGCCCCTTCTCCCTCCCTCCCCCGCAAAACAATACCGCGCTATAATCAATCAATCATTCACTTTTCCTTCATCGACTCTAACTATATCATTATTAATTTCCTTATCGTGGAGCGACACGTTCGTTTTATTATTATTATTATTATTATTATTATTATAGTTACCGTAGCATAATTAGTAATAGTAATTTTTTTTTGTAACGATTTCACACACGCGCAGACAAAAAAAAAAAAAAAAGTTTCAAAATA